ATATATATATATTTCAAACACATTTTTCCAGAATATTAGAGCTTGGTGATTTAGTAATTGATTATCTATGGGTTAATTGTATATTTGTATAAATAAAAAAGTAATTAAAAATTGCTTCAACAATATAAGACTGTTATACAATCGTTCTTTCAAATAAAACAAAAAATGTCTCATACTCATTTTTAATCACATTATCTCACATATTCTTCATCTAAACTCGAAACTTTTTCATACTTTCTATCCATACATTTTTTAAAAAATTATTATTCAAAAACTCTTTCTTCTTAAAAATGACTGTCAGACGAGGCGAATTTCAAAAATAGGTTTGCAATGAGAACAAAGATACGAAAGACCTCTGGATTTCTTATACAGTCTAACACATATATTTCATAGTTTACTTTGAGCGAATTTATAGTTTTTATAAAATGAAGCTCGACCAATGCCACTGCCAAGGCCAAAGAGGGCTATCGGAATAATACTATCTAACATTAGTAGTGTTGAACAACAGTTTAAGTATTAATTTATGATATGTCCTATTGAATGGGTCATAATTCATTGTATTTAATTGAACATGTAATTTGATATCATTAGTGTGTCACTTAAACTGATGTTAGGGCCACAATAAGTTAATACAAAAATAGTTTGACTATCTAACTATTTCATTCTTTACTACAATTGAACAGTTTCAACTTGTTTGATATTAGCTGGACAGAGCTCATAAAACGTTGAAATATTACGAAATCGTATAGAGGTCATTGAACTTTTAGTAAAATTTCATTTCAGTCATCGAAATTATTTTAGTAACATATAGGTCACTTGACAAATCTCTCCATCCACTCGAGTTATTAATCCCTAGTTTGGTAGAAACTAAAATTTTTAATCTAACTTAAAGTCAATAATTTATTTTAACCATACAGTTTATGGGATTCGCAACTTTTTAACCGCACATTTAATTAATTTTTATTAAAATTTATTAAAATTTTGATTTTAATTCCCGTCGGATAAAAAGTAACATTTCACCCTACTTTGTTAAAATCTAACATCTTGTTGAGCAAATTTGCACTGCACATGACAGGTAAAACAATATCATTTCTTTCATTTTCAAATTGTTTCTCCACGAATGATTAGAACTAATCGAAGAATGGAACCTTTTTGCAGCACAATTTAGCGCTAGCTTGGTAAAGATATTTTGAGAAGTGACTCTTTGAAAATTATTTTTTTAACATATAATTAAAAAGTGTGGAAAATTTGTGGAGAGGCGTAAAAAATAATTGTTGTTGAAAATGAGTGTGGGCAAATTAATTCTTAAAGAATCAAAATCAAATAAATTAAGGATGGTGGCCGAAAAGTTAACCAATATATTAATTTCAATCAAAACTTCAAATTAAATTTAGAATAATGTATCTAATGCTGCTTATAGTGCAACACTAGTCTATGTGTTGCTAAGTGATAAGATCAATAAAATATAGAATTAAGTCATTTATTTAATTCTACCTCTCATTTAATGTCACCTTAGCGTCATACATATTGATATTTTAACATTAATGATGTTAAATAGCATTACTTAAATGAATAATATTATTTGTACATAAAGAATTACGTAATAATTTACATGTCGATGAGGTGTCAAAAAAAGAGAGATGGAAATTTTTTTATTTGGTTGCAAAATTCTAATCTAATCATATTTTGAGTTTAGATTTGCTACTCAAATTTTGATGTCCACACAATAAATTATTCACACATCATTTTAAATCAACATATACAACTTTAATGTAAATGTTATGTCAATCATGTGACACTTTAATGTAAATGTAAATGTTATGTCTTACTGTTACTCGTGCTTAAAATCACGTGACACTTTAATGTAAATGTTATGTCAATCATTCATTGTTGGACAGTAGATCTCAATTATCTTATTTCACCATATTATGTGTATTTAAATTATTATGTAAATCATTATGTATATATAGCACAATAGTCCTTAAGTTTAGTATTTCTTTCATTTAAAAACTATTTGTCGATGAATATCGTGAAAAATAAAAAAATGGAACACTTTTAAAGCAAATTTTAAGGTTTGCTGCCAAAAAAATAAAGCAATATAATTGAAAACTCACATTATTTGATAACAAATCAATCAATTAAACTTTGCAGTTGTTTCATTTTGAAACCTTTTGTCTCCAAAAAAAAAAAAAAAAAAAATTGAAATAATCGAAGAATCAAATGATGTAATGAGTATCAGTACTCATCTATCCAAAAATAAATAAATATGACATATTATCGTTACTAGCATAAGATAAGATGAGTACAATGCTCATCAGATCATTCTTTTATATATTTTGACAATAACTCATTTTATATTTGATAACAAATTTATGTTAAAAATTTAACTCAAATTATTAAAAAAAAAAAAGAAAAGAAAAAAAAAAAGAGAGGGGGGTGGGGGGCGGGGGCTGAGACGCTTTTAGGACATTGAGAATTGAACTCAAGGAATAAAAAATTTGACTTTTTTCTTTTCTTAATTTCTTCTGATAATATACTAAACTGAGCGGTTTGGTTTTGTTGGGCACACTTCCAACGGTAGGAATTAACGACAAGTTATAAGATGTAAAGTTGATCCACTTTATTAGGTCTGTAACCAATTAAAAATCCAATTATACTACAAGTACAACTCTTTTTATATCATTTTTTACAATTCCCACACATTACACAAGTGAACCCTATGATTAAAATAATCACGACCCCCACTAGTATAAATAGACCGTCAAAGTGAGTGTACACTCAACTTAATTCTTAAAAATCAATTAGAATCTGTCTATAGCATTAACTAGATATGGCTGAGATTAGGAAAATTAATTATAATTTTAAAACAGTTAAGCCATTGTTTTGTGACATTTAATTTAATTTACTTTAAATATAGTTTTGAACTTGATGGAAAAATTTAGGAATGTCAAGTGAGACATGCTTTGTTGGTTTTTCTTGTGTGAGTCCTTGGTCTCACATGAGTGGAATCGTCTCAAAGTCAGAAAACAAAAAGATAAATTTTTAAGAGAGAAAAAAAAAATTATATATATACATACAATTTGTACTTGACCCGTCGGGAGCTGGCTCAAATTGAAGCCAATAGTGGATCCAAATTGAAAATCTCCCTTTTGCTAATGATGATTTGCTCTTGGAGGTTAACAATTATCGTTTTTACATTCTTCTCAATATCGACTAAAAAAGATAATGGGTTAAAACCAAAATTCCAACTCATGATATCGTTGTAAAATATTAGTCTATAACGACAAATTTTGGAGGAGAATCACTCTATTTGATGAAAATCTCAAACTTTGAAGAATGAATCTATCATTTTTCTATCTTAATGTTTTAATTTCGTTTTATATTCGTGGGTTGTAGAGTTTATACTAAAATAATTTTTGAAAAACATATAATATAATAATCTAAAGTAAATAGTATCCCATGAATTGCACAACCCAACTTGCATACTTAAAAGAATTGATTAGATGGGCATATAACATCCACTAATTGTTTAAAATAAATTAACTTCTGCAGAGGGGATTCCAATAATGCCAATTACTTATAATCTCTTTATTATTAACTATTTTCATTGATTGCACACTCTGGAGATGAGATTGCATATCCATGTGCAGATTGTACTTTGTCTTAATTCCATGCATATTAGAGAGAATTTCCAAACTCTCTATGAAACACATGTAACTTAAAGTTATACAAATCAAATAAAAAAGTTTAATTAGTAACAGTCAGATTAGCAAGCAAAATGTCTATCTTAATATTTTAATTTCGTTTTATATTCGTGGGTTGTAGAGTTTATACTAAAATAATTTTTGAAATACATATAATATAATAATCTAAAGTAAATAGTATCCCATGAATTGCACAACCCAACTTGCATACTTAAAAGAATTGATTAGATGGGCATATAACATCCACTAATTGTTTAAAATAAATTAACTTCTGCAGAGGGGATTCCAATAATGCCAATTACTTATAATCTCTTTATTATTAACTATTTTCATTGATTGCACACTCTGGAGATGAGATTGCATATCCACGTGCAGATTGTACTTGTCTTAATTCCATGCATATTTGAGAGAATTTCCCAACTCTCTATGAAACACATGTAACTTAAAGTTATACAAATCAAATAAAAAAGTTTAATTAGTAACAGTCAGATTAGCAAGCAAAATGCATGTTTGGCGCATAGTAGGATAAAATTACTTTTTCAATATCAGGATATTGTCTAATTCAACTTACCAAATGTTTCAAAAAAAGTTTTACATGTCATGGAATAATTAATTATTTTTATAAGACTTGATGCAATCGAATGTGTTGATAAAGTCAACTGAATTGATATTTGATGAATAATATTACTTTTTTGGTAAGAAGTGAGCCACTGATAAGAACCCTAAGTTAAAAGCCCTTTTGTCAACCGGTTGCTCGCCAAACTCTAACGTTTAAGTTGTCAAATTAGCACTTTTATTTAGTTTAATATAAGATTTGTTAGATAAGTTTTCCTACAATTTGTCTTTGTTTAGTAAGTTAGGGTTCTTGTTTTCCTTTAAACTCTAGAATTAGGGTTCAATGTTATTGGGGGAGTTTTGTTAAAGATATTAAATCAAATATTGTGATAA